ACTTATTGTAGATTTTGTGGTCTGGTGGAAGGGGTGGGGATGAAGGTAATCAGCAGTCCAGAAAATCCAGCAGAAGTATTTTAGAAAATAAACTCATTGTCTTGGTCACACAACATTTGACACTTAATCAGGAGGTCATGGCAGTTTGCTTCTTATATCTTGATGTTGTGTTTTTTGAGTAGGCCTATTTGCGTGTTCCCAAAGATCTTTTATGTGGTGGGTTTATGTTTGTTCTGCCATTGCTGTGAACCATACAGTCACAACATGTGTTTCGTTAACCAGCAGTGGAAAGAGAAACTTTACTCAGTTTTCATCAGCTTCCATCCATTAAACAGCACATTTGGGGATTTGCTGATAGACAAACCAAAGGCATTAAGTCAGAGACACTTATCTCAATGTTTAAGGGCAACTGATGGACAAGAATGTAGAGGTCTAAAGGACATTTTAAATTGATAGATGTTGATGCAAATCTGCAAGTGATGATGGATCCAAATAAGTGAAACGAGCAAAGCAATATATTTCATACCATATGCCAGATATGATAAATATTTTATTTCTGATCAGCAAAAGACACACAATTGATGCATTTGTATCTTTCATGACTTTTCAGTACAGAGGAAAACCCCAAACATATCCACAGTATGGGTATATATGTATATGGGTATATTTTAAAGTGCAAGTGATTCACAAGGGTCAATCATGCGTTACATAGCATCAGGAACTTCAGTAATCTCCTTAAATCCTTGATAACTTTTTTGAATCTGATAGTAAAATAACTGTCACTTATATATGAATACAAAATAAACTTTACTAGTCACTGAAGCTTTTTGATTTTGTTTAAGCACAACGTTTATCAATCTATTTCAAGTCTTGAGAGGAAAGAGTACCATGAAGTGCCAGAAATAAGGGAGTCTTTAGTCTCTAGTGTTGACAGGAGAAACAGATTCACAAAACTCACCATGGGTCAATTTAATAATGCTCCAGTACCACCTAAAGCACCCTATGATTCAATTAAAAACAAAAAACAAGTGAACCTATACTTTTCTCACTTTCGTTTTTCCAAAACAGCCTTCATGGGTCACCTAACTTGGGCATGTCCTCGACGAAACAGACATTCAGTATACAGGTACATTCTCTGAAATTACCATGATATTTGACTTGGTGAGGAAACAGTCAATTTGCCCTTGCCAAATATGTTTGACACAAGGAATGTTCATAGAAAATAAATATGTAGACATGAATAGACATTAAATGTTTAAATGTAAATGTGGACTGATGCTGAGCTCACTGTGTGTTGACAGATCAGAGCGGCCACAGTAGAGGGGCATCTGGACAGCATCATACAGGGTTTACACAGTTTAGCAGCAGCTGTTGGGTTTTGGATTTACCCATGGACAACAAAGATACAGACAAATGTATCAATAGTACATGAAGAAGCCCTGGCCCTTCAGGATGCGAAATATTCAAACTGATTTCCATTCACTGGGTAAATAAAACATGTCTCAATTGCACATGTGCTGAATGTTTCAATGCCCTTTATAGTGGTTAAGATGCAAAGTGCATATTTAACATAAAATAGTAAGCTAGGATATATTACAGTATGACTATAGCTCTTAACTTCCCAAGTGATTCCTTCAGAACTGCTGTCCTTTCGCTCCAAATGACACAAAAGAAATGATCATATTCACGAAACAAAAAGAAACACCAGTTTACAAAAACCACAGAAACAGAAAGCGATATAGAGGAGCAATGCCTTCACACTATGTGTGCAGTATGAGAGCATACGTGCTGCTGCTTTATTCACACAGCATCAGCTGGCACTGAATGAAATAAAGGTCAATTTCTGTGTTGCTGTGAATCCTTTGAATGTGAGATTATTGCATAGTTTGGAATTCTTAACATAGCTATTAAATTGACACTGACATCTGTTTTCAGGTCTGTGCTTCACTCTTATCAATACAGAACAATATGTAAATTCACTTTTTTTCCAATCAGGACTGGGCTCAATTCCTTTCATGAAGTCAAAGTAGAAACTATAAGGGCATTCAATGTCAATAATTCCTCATAACGTTGCTATAAAACTATATACTATAGACCAGTTTGCAAGGTTTGAATTTTTCGAGAAAGGGTATTTTCTGACTCAAACTGCTTAATGGTGAACTGAACCCAGCCCTGGATCCAAGTTAATCTCTATATTGCATTTTTAATATCCACAAGCATCTGCCATTTACTTCCAAACAGAAACTAACTCAAAATTATCTCATTGAAGTTAATGGTGGAAAAACCACCATCTATATCCCAGGAATAGACTAAACAAACACCAGCATGAAGAGCCTTCTCAGTGACTCTGACTAATCTGCTGATTCTGAATGATTGTCTTGATCTCTGAAGGCCATATTTTTTTAGAAAAGAAAATTGCTTAATGGATTAAGTGTACTGGAACTTTTTGTTGGACTGATATACAGTTACAATGTCATTTAATATACACAAACTAACATAAGCTTCTTACCTACTAAGATGCCTGAGTGTCATTTTAATTGAACTCTCAACAAAAAGCAAAGTAACAGCGGCCTGTACATTTCTTTACACACTTTTCTAGCTTTCTCACTTTGACTGCTGCTTGTCTGTTGCTAAATCCCAGTGCAATCTTAGCAAAAATGCTTTAGCCAAAAGTGTATGAAACTCCCTGACTTTAGGTTCCAGTTTAAGTGAATATCTTAATCTTTGATCACTTTTCTTTGTCATTGTGTAATTTGTTCTCTTTAATAGAGCACTACCATCTAGGAACACATCAGTCTTTTAAAGGCCCTGACAAAATGTTTTCTGAATCAACTTCTAGCTACTGTACAAGTAACGTGGTCCTACAACTATTTTCAGTTTTGGTTATTATATGAGAGATTTCTGTCCCTGCTTATCTCACTTGACTTGACTTGTCCGATATGGGGATATTAATTAGGAATTTTTATTATTAATCATTTGAAATTTTAAGTTTTCTGGGGCTTTAAAGGACCAGTGTTAAGTATTTAGTGGAATATAGCAGAGAAGTTGCAGACTGGAACCATTGGAATACAGCTCAGCTCCAAATGTCTACGAGAAACTATGGTGGCCTCTAAACTTGCAGAAAATACAATAGGCCCTATCTAGAGCCAGTGTTTGGTTTGTCTGTTCTAAGCTACTGTAGGAACATGGCGGTTCAACATGAGGGACTCCGCAGAAGAGGACCTGCTCCCCTTGAAGATAAAACAGGTCATTCTAAGGTAACCAAAACATGATTCTAGTTTTCAGGTGATTATACACCAATAAAAACATACCTATGAATATTATATTCCATTTCTGTCAATAGATCCTCCTAAATGTTGGACCTTTAAACTATGACTTTGCAGATACTACAGTATGATGCATGTCATAATTTCTCATAAAAATAAATGCAAGAGATAATCGCTAACACTACATATGATTAGAATTTATTTGTATGTAGCCATCTTAAGGGAAATTAATTTCAGCCTATGCCAAGAGAAGCGCCACAAAGTAGAGCAGAACCGTCAACAACTTCCTTATGAGGGTACTTGATGCTGGTGTTTGTTTTACTGTGATTATACCTGGTCAACGTTTAAAAATGTGCACAAACCTCTAGCACTGAACAAGTGCATCTAGCAGCTGCAATGACAACCTTTTTTAAAACCAGAAAGTGTGTCAAAATGAAGCTATTGTTTTGTTGTGGTCCCTTGTAACAACCATAAAGTAGATCACCTGACCTGAATGACCAACCTTGTTCCCCTATGGCCAGCACAGAGTCATGACATGGGTCCCATTCAGTCACCACAGTGTCAGCTCACTTTCTTTTTTTTTTTTTTTGGCATAGAGCTCATGTTCAAATAGGAGCCATGACTGAACTGTTTTTTAAATCTGTAAACTGATTAAAACTACAATAATGCATTAAAATAAAAAAAACATTAAATAATATAGTAGGAAAATAAATATCATTCCAACAAGGCTTTTTTTTTTAAATAGTCACTCTCAATCTCGACACAGGAAGCCAGTGTGTATGTCACGTTATTCACCTCAGAGAATGACAATCATCGGCCCAAGAACATGGCTGCTCTCAGTCTCATCGGTGAACGTGCTAATCAGCTACTGCACATACACTACTGCTTCACGCTCACTCAAGAACATAGATACAGATTCCTCTAAACATGGTCCCACATATACTGCAGAGCTCAACAGTCATATGCATTACAAGTGTCTGGATACAAGATATGCAAAAATTAACTTTTTCTGATAGTTAGACTTGGCCATGACCTGGACAATCCTTATGTGCAGGATGATGATTTAAAACAAACACGTGACCGTGGCTACATCTGCCATCGGAAAAAAACAAAACAAAAAAAACAATTATAAGTGCTATAGCTATACACTATTTTGGTATTTCATGAATAGCATTCAGGGCAGTTTGTAGTTTTTTGGTCAGTTTAAGGTAACCTGTCAAAGGTTATCATGAAACCTCTGCAGACCTCACTCCGTATGAGCACTCTCCTTTAGAGGGCTAGCTATGGCTGTCTCAGATAACTTAGTATACAGTACATTTAACTGTTATGTTGGTGTCAGAAAATAGATATGAAACTCATTTCCACATCTCATGCTCACAATTTGACTGGTCTCGTCACTGAAATATTAAATACATCTACCAATAATTTCTCATTCCTATCAATGAACTAATAATAATCCAACTACTGATTTCTATTCATGAACAAACGTCTGGAATATGAAATCTGTGTTTTTGTCTTTTAAAGTATGGACTTGTGCTCTAGAGGTGTGAACCACTATGGCTGTTTTTTTGTTTGTTTTTGTTTTTGTTTTTGTTTTGCTTGGCATCAAAAGACATCTTAAGGATTCGTCTCTGTTGGAGGAGGTGAAGAGGAGTGAGCAGGACCATGTTGCACAAATGCAACAGCCACATGTTCAACACTAACTGTGAGCAGACACGTTTGAAAACAGTCGATGGAAGGGGGGGGTCTCTCAAGCCTAAAGTGTAGGATATACAATATAACAACAATCAAACTCTGATTCTATGGGCGTTCCGGCATTCCCTAGAGGTGCATATCTGTAACTTCCAGTCTAGCGGAGGAATGTATTTTATCACCCCTAGGGAATAGAGGAGCTTTCATGATGTTTTGAGGAGTGTGTGGAGTTTCTGAATCTGAGTGGAAGTTAGGAGCTGTCACTGGCAGAGCGCTTTTTGCCAAAATGACTGGCAGAGTCTCTGTTTCGAAGATTAGGCTGGATCTTGTACATATGGGGACCCATGGACCAGCGCCAGCTCCCACGGCCCTCCACTCCAGTTGGGATGGCGGCAGCTGCAGCCACAGCAGTGGATGGGCAGGGCTTGTTCTGCAGCAGCTGAATAAGCATGGTCATCTCTGGGCCAAGCCGCGACACCATGCTGGTCCTAACGCGGTCCACCGTGTCCTCATCACAGTCCATCAGGCTCTGTAGCAGCTTACCATAAAACCTAGGACAACAAAACAAAGCATGACAGAACGTCTTTTTAAGAAATCAAAGCTAAATATGACCAAAAAATTGCACTTATAGTCTGATGTCCTCCATATGGGAGTGACCATCCCTTCCCTGGTCTCTACTAAGCCTTGTGCTCCACCCTCCTAGGCCTTTTGTATCCACTCCCAAACTGCAATCCTACATGTATTACAACAACAATAGGAACAAAAACATGCAAACTTGATATTCTTGTTTAATTGTATTTCATTGTACTAAAGAATGTATGAAGCAGGCGGTAACCAAAACATGGAAATCGATACAAATTTAACCATCTGCTATGCTGCATAAATCAAGGTCAAAGGGTTATTTGAAACATGCCAGGCATGTATATTTGTATTTTTAGGATGATTCAAACACATGTCTAGGGCTTCCATCACCCAAAATGAACAGCAGCTATAGCTGTCTGATTGTCCTTTACTGGAGCAATACACCCTTGTTTAACACCTAACACCTTAGTTTTTTCAGCCAGCCACTGAACAAGTCATGTACAACGCACACAACTGGCACCACATTATAGCCCTGATTATCTTGTTTTAAAGTATTTGTACAGTAGAGGAAAAGCTCACCTATTGGGGAAGTGACTTGGTAGCTGTGCCACTTCACCAATAGCATCTGGATTCGATCGGGCAACAGTGCAGATATCCAGCTTGCTGTAACACTCCTCTTGGACTTCGGATATCATTCTTTGGAAGGTGGAGCAGCGGCGGATGGTGGGGAATGCCTTCGAGGTGATGCCATTGGCAATGCACTTAAGGCTCTCCTTCACAAATGCTTTACCCTGTAAAAAAACAGCAGTGCTTCACACATTCTTGCCCTGACAGTCACACCCATATAATCCTACACAGCTCATATGCACATAGAAACATACAGAATGGCATACAGTATGTAGTCTTTGTGAAATGAATTAGAGTGTATACCTGAGTGTCAAATTTAGCAGCACTGTATAGGAAGGACTTGCAGATGTCATGCATGCCATCTGTGTCACAAGTTGAGTTTTCCAGGCAGGCGAAGGCTCCGCAGCCAACTTGGAGGGCACTGTTGAGACAGCGTGCCACATCTGCTGTGGGCACACAGAGAATGGACCATCAGCAGGGGAGCCAACAGTGGGTTCACTGGGAATCACTGCACACTCACTGAGCTCATTACACAAGGGTTGCCAGGGTTTCAGCTAAAAAATGTGCTGAACAAAAGAGAATTTTCATACTTTGGTGATTCACAAAAGACATACAGTCACTCGGGGCAAATAGTGACTTGACTGGGGATTGGACACCTTACAACTCTGAGAGTCTCAGACACTATTTGGCACAACTGCACTTTTCTCTTGGCAGGGACCTATATTCCACTGTTTGGTTCTTTTCAGCAGAGCTTGGATGAACAGCACCAGAAATACCAAAGAGTTTCCTGAAAATTGTTGGCATGCCTGTCGACACGCACAAACATACACTTGTACCGCTGGCACACACACACAAGTACACACACGCATACAAACGCATGCTGCCACCAGACTCTGTCTTCAAAAGTCGTATAATTGTCACGCTGAATTAGAAGATCCTGCTTCCAAACCACTTTAATATTCCTAACTATTAACTAAGAACATGTCACAGTTCAGTTAACTATCCACAATTGATCCCATGAACATCTACATAATGAAATACACATTCAGAAAAAGCTTCCATATTCATTTCAGGAGCGTCACATGACTGGAATAGGCTGTTTAACCCACGAGTAACCCTGATCCCCATCTTTGTAAAACCTATGAAACAGCTACCATGAAACATCATTCAGTCCATTTTCCAAAAACTGATCTTGTCCTTAGGACAGTTCTGAGTCCAAGCAACTGACTTGAAATTTTACACAGAGCTATAAAACATAATCTGTAAATCAGTGTATCCAGATAGTTGGCTTTCCTTCTTCTTCGTCCAAGAATCCACTGCGATGGCAAGCAGCCTGACTCAAATCCTTTGTAATAACCATTAAGAAATGTCACCGCGGAGCCTAAGCCTACTTGGCAGACTTCGAATCTGGGGCCCCATGTTGACCTGCACAGTCAGATAAAGTCTGCCGGCCATCAGGGACCAGAGATTGTTCTCAAAATACAGCAAGTGAGCTGCAAATCTAATGATGATGAAGCAATTCCTGCAGAAGCAAATCAGCATCCCTGTTACTCACTGCCTTTTATCACTGGGCTGCTGGGCTTTGAATGAATCCATGCAGCTTTTATGCTTTGCAGTGTCATTTCTTGATGGTTATCATAAGGGATTTTGACTCAGGCCTTTCTTTTGAATGATGGAAGACCTGCCAACTAATAGGGTTACATTTATTTGTCCAAAAGGCACAGCCCCAGTGACAAACATTATAGCTTTTTCTGAAGCATACTGAGAGGAAAATACAATAGTGTAGCCTACTTCTTTTTCTGACTTGAAGCCTACACGGGAAGCTTTATGTTTTACGCACTGAAAACCCCCCTCAAGTCCACTATAATGTTGAATAGTGGAACCTATGCAGCAGGAAAAGCCGTGAGAAAGACACTATCAACATGACACAGCCTGCACTCTCAGGTGTCAGCACCAAGCTCCATGCTCATCTGTTGCCGGCAGGACACCGGCAAAAACCACAGCGTTAATCCCGCAGCCTTCTCCATGAATCAACGCGCTCGTTTAGACAGAAAAGGCTGCATAGGCCAAAAAAAGAAAAAAGAAAAATATGAGAAGAAAATCTCCTCATAGTAAGCGAGCAAAGGTAAGGCTGTGCATTGTGGAAATTGTGTGTAAAGAAGCAAGCAGTGCACTCTGAGATATGCAGATGGAAGCAGCGTGTTACTTACAAGGGCTATTGGCAGAAAAGCGTGCTCTCCTGGGCGAATAAGACTCGTTTTGATCCAGTTCATATGCAGATGCGTTCAGCATCATCAGGAGAAAAAGTCCGGTCCTCAAAGGCATCGTCCTCTCAACACAGATTATAGAACTAAATGTAAAGAGACGCCTCCTGCTTTGTGTGTAATTCATAAGAATAACGCTCCAAAAAGCTTCTGCAGCGCCGAAAACAGAACAAATGTAGGCTATTACAAGTAAGCTGCCAGCAATTTCTTTACATCGGACTCCTCCTTGCTATCCTTTTGACTTGCATGACAGATAGAACCGATGTCAAGCCTGCATGGGTTTATATGGGAGCGCTGAACATTACGAGTTCTGCGTGTGGACCAATCAGAACGCAGTATTTAGGACCGTGGTCCTCGTTTCTCCACTACTAATTGATAAAATCATTTAACAGCGGCCAACACAGATATTACAGCTCGACAGGAAGAATTTGGGCATTATTTCTTATAATGACCCTGAGTAACTAAACATGAATATAGTTTTTTACTTCATTTGTAACCTTATAGAGACTTTTTAGATCAGTGTTACAGGTTGTATATTATTTCCACTGACATATTTACACCCAATCCATAAACCTGTCACCTGTTACACAGCTTCAGCTACTCCCCTTCATTACTGAGGTAGGTTTAAGTAGTCACCTATTGCCACTATGGCCTCTGATTATGATGTGACTTACATACAGTGCTATATTTCAACAGTTATAATGTACATAGAATAGGACTTGTCAATATGCTGCAATCCTTTTGTGCAGCCCTACAATACATGTATATGATGGCTGACATGCTTGCCTAAATAATAGGTAAGGAACTGTAACAAATGATGTGTTATTTTTGCCTGAGGGGAGCATAGTCTGACCTTTTGGGAGTGTAGAGGAAGGTCTTATATTTATTTAATATTTTATTTCAGTCATCCTAAGAGAAATTGTCAAATTTATTGGAAACTTTTTTTTTAACTTACAAGTCACTTCCTGCAGCATGACATAATTAGTATTAATATATTACATAAAAGTCTATACAGTCTATATTATATATGTATAATATAAGGTTTACTATGAAATACTGTTAACTTGTCTTCCTAGTTTGGTGACATTTGGAAAGATAAGTTTCGAAGTTACAGTAACAGTTTGATCTGACAGGTTTGAATTTTACTAATATAATAAGATCATTAATGCACACACGATATTTGCAAGAATCCACTGCGGCTGAACGGAAAGAACCAATCAGAGCCGAGAAAGATAGTTGATCGCTGAGTCTCATTCCCAGGTAGTCAAATACAGACCTTTGGGACCTGGAAATGAGATGATCAACTATCTTTCTCAGATATTTTTATAAAACTTACCGACTGCATCTTTAACCAAACACTTGACCTTAATTTTTATATATTATCTTGTTTTGTCAAAAATTTGCCTATTCTTAATTTCACTTTTTCTAATTGGTGGTTATTGTGAATATCATTATCCCATAAAGTATAAAAATGTTTAAAGTGGAGTACACGCGTTTATGTTTTTGCCTCTTTTAGTTGTTATTTTTAGATATTTGTGTGGAAGGTGGTGCATTTCTAATTGGAGGCAAGGGTCCAAAGAAAACAGTGGGGAGTGCCTTGCTTTTTCATGATTCAGCCTTTCTGCCCACCCCAAATCATTTTTCTACAGCCCCTAAAGTCAGCAAATGCAAAGCCCATCTCCACACTAATAAACCAAAGTGTATTTAACCAACCTGTATTCTAGTCAAATGGGGTGTGTACTTTGCCAGACTTGAACACCCTTGTCCAAATATCAACACAGAATATTCAAATGACGTCTTTTTATCGCTCTGGCATTTTCCTGAACCGTGCTCAATGATGACAGCATTGTTGCTTTAACTTAAGGGAATCTACTGAACATGGAGATAAACTACCTGTGTTGTTGACATTAAATGCGGGTAATGATTGCTTTTGACCCAATTCTCCATTCTCTTCTTCCCAAGTCAGTGAAATGTTGGCTCAGAGTCCACTAACTTGCAGCTGCACGTGCCGGCATACAGAGGATGATGTGTGGGACTCTAAGCTATCATTAATCATGGAGGCCTCACGCCTCTTCACCCAGTGCAACACTCGACTCTTACAGACAGTATCAGACACTATGAAGCTGAATTGTCTTGATAATAAGAATTTGGAATAAAACAAAATGTTTAACAGTGAGCTGGAAAATCTCCATTGACTTAGATATACAATAGTAACTTGGTTATCTGTGGAAGTATCTGTTAAATATTCAGTTACACTGGATCAAACCTGGATGAACTTGTCCAGGCTTCTAAAATGATTCAAGCCATGCTTGTCCTCTTGCCATCAGATATACAGTTCATTACAGGTGTCAGTGTGTGCCAAGCACAAACCACCCCATTAGTTTTGCCATTAGTAAAAGATTTATGATATTTTCCTTGCATGTTATGTCAATTCACTTTTCCTGTGGTGTTTCAGAGAGCAGAAAGCCCTCTTTGTGCCTCTCCTCTGGTTGTCTTTGGCAATCACCGTGCTACAACCCTAATTTCTAGCAGTGTCAGTTGGGCATGATGTCAAGCTGTTGGCACCTACTCTGCTGGGAAATTCAAATATGGGCCTCTGTCAGCTTCACCAATAGCCATTGTAATGGAAAGATAATATGAATGTAACAACCTAATGAATGAGCTATCTACTGTCACAATCAATCATTATCAACATCCCAGTCCATGAAGGGCATAAGTTAAATGTTACACATGTGATTTTTGAGAATTTAATAGCTTGCAGACTGATGACTCTTTGACAGCTTTGGTCTGTGATCTTTTTTGTCCATATTTCCAAAATTAAGTTTGACTGTCCAACGCATTCTTTTATTTTTAGCATCAGTTACTCTTGCTTCTGTTACAGCAAGTAAAAGAAACAGTTTCCAGAGTGATGACTGGTTCTCTTGCCTGCAAATTAGATGAAGAAAACAGTATGTCAAAGGTCAGCATGCTTGCTTATTGGTTATGTCAGCACTCCTAAAAAACCTGCACAAAACAACAATCTGAACAATGTGAGATTTGAGTCAGATGTTGAGCTTATATTTATGCTTTCCATTAATATGTTGCTGCTCTTGCATTTATTGTTTCCTTATGCTTTTTCATTCAGGTGGGCAGGGGTTCGGTGTGTCTCAGCTGAAAATGAAGACGAGAGTTTATTCATGAGTTTGGAAGTTGCTCTCGTCCTTGTTGCACATCACTGCAGACTCTTCCTTTTTGGAGTGTAGCCATGCCACAAACACATTTGAGAAGACCATTTCTGCGTCCTCTGGGGGAAAGGATAATGAATTCCTTTGTCAGGTAGAAGAAGGTGATTCACCTTGTTTTCAGAAATATAACAGACAACATTGGCTGGCTTGGTGTTGGAGATAGAGGGCAGAGTTCACTGAAAGGACAAATCTGTTACAGAGAATGAACATACAGTAAAAAAAAAAAAAAAGCCTGCTGCAGCATGAGAGTTTTGCATTCATTTACATTGAGGTGGATGAACTGATGCTCTGATTAGAGGTCACTTTGCATCTAAGTTGAATTTTGCCCTAAGCTTATTGCTGTTTGCCTGACAGCAGCTTCCTCATCTCCAATTATGAGATTATTATATTGTTCATTATGAACAGGAGATTTGAAATTAGTGTAATAAATGGGAGGTTCAATGTTTATCAAGCACAAGCAAATTAATCACAAATGTTGTTCATGTCTGCGCTAAAGCTTTTTAACGAGTTTATATAATGAGTTATGCAAAAGCATTTGTAAGATGTCACCTGAAGGACAGTGGTAGTCTACCTGTCACCACAAGAGGGACTTTTGTTAGATGTTACATGAGCTACTACTGTAAAGCAACACCATCAAACTGCCTACTGTACTGGAGGGATGGAGGGGAAAACTTGATTTGAGAAGTAGAAAGGATTTAAGACATCCTGCAGGAATGAGGATTATAATTACAACCACATGTAAAACCAGTCAAAGGTGATGTGTTCACGCCTACATTTAGAATTTCCTGCTTGTGTTTTGATGTGTGATGTTTGGTCGGAGGGATAATGCGTTTTGCTTTCTAGCAGCAGACGTTTGTGGTGTTCACATGAGAATAACACTTCATTTTGAAAGCAATATCTTGAATAGGAGGTGAACTGTGGGCGGCAGCTCTGCACAGCAATGACAGAAAGAACCAGGATCTTTCCATTAAGGCACGGCACCCTGCAGCGCCATCAGCTGTCAGAAAACTGAGAGACCCCCAGTGGTAACAAAGAGACACTTTTAAATCTAAAGAAAATAATGAAAATAAATACACATCAGGGGTGGAGCCAGATATTGTAAACATTCAGGGCTTAGCACAAACCTAGGGGGGCTTTGGGGGCCATGCTCCGCCAGGGAGCATATACAGCAGCTACTGTATATGCACTATTTTTCAAGCCAGTTGAGAAAACAGAATGCCTAAAAATCTGCACATCATTTGGGAAAACATGATGCCCACAAAAGAAAATCCTGTAGAGCCTACATCCTATTTTGTAATCGTTTTCCAATTGGCTTCATCATTCTGGAATCAACCAACCATCAACACACTTCTACCACCTAAAAATAGTAAAGCGTAGGGATTTTAAACAAAATTATTTATCAGAAAGCATTTTTCTATTCAACTGTGTTGGAGTATAGTTCAAAGGATAAATTTAGCTGACGAATCTGCTACATGTAAATCCATGCCATAATACTGTAATAGATGGTGACAATTTCCCCAGTAATAAAACTGAAAAGCCTGAAAGACCGAGGGGAAATGACTGAAAGTGGAATTTGTTTTAAAAGCCTAAAAGATTTGAGGCTTTTGAGAAAACATCCAAGGCTAGAGCCCCAGAAGCCACCCTCCTGCTCAGCCCCTGGTACACATCCATCTATAAAACTCTCAGGACGCAGAGAAATTGAATTAGTTATTAAAAAAAAACATTTAAAAAGCCTTTAAAACTGCTTCTATAAATCAAATGATCCTGTCTTATGTTGTTGAAAACACAGTTATAATCTGTATTGTTCGATGAAAGTCTATTGAAACACCAGAAGTGGAGCAACCAAACTGAGATTTGGTTTCTGTGGGCACACTGAACAGCTAAACCCATTCACCATTGTTAGTGGTATTCACCACTCAGAAAGGCTGAAATTAACAGACACCCCTGTGTATAGAGCTCTCATTTTATTGTGGCCTTATGGAATTCACAATTCTTAGAAAAAGTATGATTTTGACTGGCAAAA